CAAGCACAGTCTGCTCTGATTGGCCAGCTGACCCAGTGCATTGTGATTGGCCGAACACCACAAGCACGCTTCGGAAATGTATCACCCCCTTTCCATAATCGCGAGCTTCAGCTTTCAACATAAATGTAAAGAAAGTAAATAATGTCCTTAGTTTTACCATCAGTTCAAGCCCGAAAGAGGAACAGAGTCGCGTGACAGACACAGTGATGATTCTCGTATGTATTTGCAGTACACAAGCCGCGATTAAGAAAGCTTACTCCACTGTGATGTGACTCTGTCTCTCTCTCACGCACACACACACACATAACGCAATACTCTACACGGTGCAAAACTTCGCATTTGAACAGTCAATAGCAAATACTTAAACTATTAAGAAAACATACTTACAGTAGCTGATTCAGAATAAGCGCCAGATTGTCATAGCAAAGTCGGAATTTACCCTTTTTTTTTTTTAAATAGCCTTTGCACAGCCAGCCTTGTAGACTACTCTCCTAGGTTCACAAAACTGTCGTCCATAAAATGCGTTGCACAAATTCGAACATCTGGGTTGTGCTGTTCTGTTGTAAATAAATCTTAACCAATGGTTCCTCATTGCATATACTTTCGGAAGGCCAAATAAAGTGCTTTTGCTTTCGCACAGAAGCACACAGCGTCTCCCTGACATGGCTGCATCAACACTACTGCGGCTCCTGAAACCACGCCTTCTTTCTTTGCATGAACATTTGGGTGGCATTACGCAAATATTTTCTACATCGTGACGTAGAGATGTGGGGGCGTGTTTGAATGAGGTGTTTTAGCCTGGTCTGGATCAGCCTTCTCTTTTAGATAGAATAAATCCTTTTGTGGGAGCTTTGTAACTCTGCAGATCTTATACATGCGCAAATAGCTACATAACACACTAAAGAAAAGGAAAAATAGAAATTGCATCATATGACCCCTTTAATTTACCATATTTCCTTGCTAAGCCAAACTGTTTGGTTTGCTTGTGACAATGGAACCCGTTTTTGTCTCTCCAGGGCTCTGTTTCTGATGACGAAAAGCAACTTTCAACCCCCCAAATTAAAAGACAAAGTTAAATGGTAAGTGCTAATTACATTTTCAGGCAATTATTAGGTTACCCAGGTGTGTAAAATCCTTGATACCAAGAGGGACATTTCAATGTTAGTTTGTGTTTTATATGTCCGATTCCTTAATTTCATTAATCACCTATGAAATTTGGTCCAAGCACTCTCATTTGCCCTAAACGGTTGCTTTTATGAATTTGAATAAGGTTGGACTTGACATTATCTTATCTTGTCTGATTAAGAATCTGGTCAGGTCATCTACCGAATAGTTTATTCTTCATTACCTTGCAGCTCTGTTAAATCAAATGAAGTTAATTACATTTAAAGCTAACAAACTGTAAGGCGTCGCAGTGGAAATGCTCTTTGCACATGAGATTTATAGAGATTCTTCTCTGTGTTCCGAAGGACCAATAATTTCCACAATTTTGTGAAGCTGGCTTTGACGAAAAATCCAAAGAAGCGGCCACCAGCTGACAAGTTATTGCAGGTAGGAGGGACTTTTTTGCATCTTGTATTTTTCGTGTTTGCATTTGTCATTTTATGTAATATTTTTGGTTTTGATTTTGAAGTACCTTTTTTAGTTATTTTATAATTACATTTTTATTTTAAATCACACACATAATATTTTATAAAGCATATCATTTATTTTTATGTATAATATTTCATAATATTTTTGTGTAATTGTTTTGAATTACATTTGTTAAATGCATTTTTATTTAAGTTTTATTTATAATTATTATTAGTTATTATTCAAGTCAAATGTATCATTATATTAGTTTTATAACTTATAATTTTACTTTTAAATTATATTTCTAAATGATATATCAAGACTCTTTACTGACAAAAGACAAATGACATGCCTTCAAAAAAAATCTAACATTGCCATTTCAACCATCTACTCCTCAGCATCCCTTTGTGTCCCAGCCATTAAGTCGTATTTTGGCGATTGAGCTGCTGGATAAAGCGAACAACCCCGATCACTCGTCCTTCACAGACCTGGATGATGACGAGCCAGAGCCGGAGGTACAGTATATCTTCCTGTGTGATTCTCAACGTTATCACCACTATCACTTCAAGAGTGACTGCCCCTTCGGGACTGTTATTCACAAGCAGAGCCCAGAAAACGCCAGCTGATGGAACTGACATGTTAGCCTCTAAATCCTACGAGTAGGGACGTCAGTTTGACGAGCCCAGCGAGTTTCTATATTCAATATGTCACCCGTTTTATCGAGGTGATATTTTTCAGTGACTTGCTTTCTTCATTATTAGCCTGTAATAGTTGTTATAATGGCAGTCATTCGTTTCGATTGTCTCTAAAGTTAGGTTTGTACGCCGGCATCTCATCCGGTTGTGCTACAGGGCTACTTCTGCTGATAAAGATTTGTGAAATAATTTGGCCTCTTTCACAGTCCCCCAGCGAGAATGAAGTCTTCATTTCAACTCTCCCTGTTCTACCCATTTCCCCAAGCATCCATTCATTCTCACTTCCTCTCTTATTCATTTCCCCCTCTCCTGCTCTTGAAGTTTAAATACAGAGGGTTGTTTTTGCCAGTCTCTCCACTCTCCCGCCGAGTCCTTCGCTTTGCAGCTCGCAGAAAGGTATCAGGGGTGTGCATGTGTGTGTGTGAACATCTGGAAATGTTTTGATTAATAAGTGTTAATTTAGTGTTGATGACTACATGATGATTTGGTGTTATGAGTGTTATTGTCTCATTTATTTTTCTTTATCATTTTTGTTCAGAAGTGTTTGTAACCTAGACAAACATGTTCGTGCACGATGTGTGTTTTCTTGTTTGCTCAAGTAGTTGTGAGTGAAAATTTGTGTTTGTGTGTTTGTGTGTGTGTGTGTGTGTGTGTGTGCGTGTGTGAGTAAGTTACGCAGGTATGCCCAAGGATGTTTTAGGAAGTTTTGCGTTCTTGTCGGATTTTTTATCGGAGTGTTGATCCCTCAAGAGGTCGGTTTCAGAAACGGAAGCTCAGTTCAAAAGCCGGATTTGGATTTGTGTCCCAGCCATTAAGTCGTATTTTGGCGATTGAGCTGCTGGATAAAGCGAACAACCCCGATCACTCGTCCTTCACAGACCTGGATGATGACGAGCCAGAGCCGGAGGTACAGTATATCTTCCTGTGTGATTCTCAACGTTATCACCACTATCACTTCAAGAGTGACTGCCCCTTCGGGACTGTTATTCACAAGCAGAGCCCAGAAAACGCCAGCTGATGGAACTGACATGTTAGCCTCTAAATCCTACGAGTAGGGACGTCAGTTTGACGAGCCCAGCGAGTTTCTATATTCAATATGTCACCCGTTTTATCGAGGTGATATTTTTCAGTGACTTGCTTTCTTCATTATTAGCCTGTAATAGTTGTTATAATGGCAGTCATTCGTTTCGATTGTCTCTAAAGTTAGGTTTGTACGCCGGCATCTCATCCGGTTGTGCTACAGGGCTACTTCTGCTGATAAAGATTTGTGAAATAATTTGGCCTCTTTCACAGTCCCCCAGCGAGAATGAAGTCTTCATTTCAACTCTCCCTGTTCTACCCATTTCCCCAAGCATCCATTCATTCTCACTTCCTCTCTTATTCATTTCCCCCTCTCCTGCTCTTGAAGTTTAAATACAGAGGGTTGTTTTTGCCAGTCTCTCCACTCTCCCGCCGAGTCCTTCGCTTTGCAGCTCGCAGAAAGGTATCAGGGGTGTGCATGTGTGTGTGTGAACATCTGGAAATGTTTTGATTAATAAGTGTTAATTTAGTGTTGATGACTACATGATGATTTGGTGTTATGAGTGTTATTGTCTCATTTATTTTTCTTTATCATTTTTGTTCAGAAGTGTTTGTAACCTAGACAAACATGTTCGTGCACGATGTGTGTTTTCTTGTTTGCTCAAGTAGTTGTGAGTGAAAATTTGTGTTTGTGTGTTTGTGTGTGTGTGTGTGTGTGTGTGTGTGCGTGTGTGAGTAAGTTACGCAGGTATGCCCAAGGATGTTTTAGGAAGTTTTGCGTTCTTGTCGGATTTTTTATCGGAGTGTTGATCCCTCAAGAGGTCGGTTTCAGAAACGGAAGCTCAGTTCAAAAGCCGGATTTGGATCTGTTGACAACAGATTTTTTGTCTGGCCTCTTTGTGCTGAGGTTTGCTTTAAGGGTTTAACAGAACAGCAGCATCAAAGAGCTTTTAGAGAAATTTCTTGCGTCATTGAATGCAAATAATGTTCAGTACTGGGGTGAATCTCACGAAAACCTGTCAAGAACATGTCAAGGTCATTTTTAACCCATAAATATAATGAAAATAATCAATAATATAAATAAAATTTTTCACATTAAAATTAAGTTTATTTTTGTTTTTAACTCCATTAAGAAATAAAAA